GTAGTTAGAGTGCAATAAGTGATATTCAATAGCTTTTATCGTACCACTATGATTAACCTTAGAACACTATCGTACATAAAGATGTGTAAATGAGTGAACGCTAAACTATGCTTTATGAGGTCAGCAATGGTCAATATCGTAATAGACAGCGTGATAAATGATTTCGATTTTTAAACAGTTTTGTATCATTATATTTTTTATTAGTAAGTATACATCAGATTTACATATGAATATGATTAACAGACAATTTTTTGTTTTCTGATTCAAATATTCAATTCTTTGTTGTAAGTGTAATATAACAATGAATAATAATAAATAACATGTCATTTTAAGATCGATTTTGATACTGTGCTTATTCTTTTTTTCTCTTTTAAGTTAAGAATTACGTTGTTTATGTTTATAAAGATCTAGAATTAATTAATTTTAACATTATAAGAATTTTAATTTAATCAATTTTAATTTTTAATTATTTATGTATAATTTTTTTTAATTAATTAAGATTTAAAAAAATATTTTGTTATTAAAAGACAGTATTAATTATGAAAATCTTATATTACATTAATTAAAAGTGGTCTATTTCCTCAAACGTAAAATTTACTTAATGCAGGCAATACTGCCACTCAATATTGATGTAGCACATTAGAATTAAAAGATGGTCAACTGTGTTCATACAGTATGATTTTTCTTCTTGAGAAATTATAAATAAATCTCGCATAATAACCCCTTAAAATGCCCGTAGGCGTCATTGCAACTATAATCAATCATTTATTCCTTTTATACTGTACATAATAAAATTAAAATCACTTTTGACAATCCGATATTTTTAAAACAATGTTTCCAGCACTGTAAAAAAATTATCCATTTTTTTCTTTTTAAAGCAGACAATTCTTCCAAAATTGTATACAACTTATTAAAATCTCATTTTAATAGTTCTTGTGTGTTGATTATTAATGATTTTAATAATAATTATCTTGATATTTCACGAACATAAATAAAACTAAAATAAAAATGATTGGTTGATAAGTAGACCACCCGAAATGATTGTTTACAGAATATCGAAAATGCGGATCGATCAAAGCGAGATCGATTCGCGTTTTTGAAGCATGCATCTCCTCGAGGTCAGATTAAGAAATCGAACTTCAGACCAGCACGTCTGGCCAGTAGCTGGCATCTGAGAAAGGAGAGATCGCAGGTGTTGCGCAACATTCCGAGGTAATTTATACCACTCATGGTTAACAAATACCACGTACCATAGCTTTGTGTGAGCAGTGCAAGTTATTTTGCACTCTCTCCTTGGTATGCGAACTATAAATTGCCGAACAAACGTTGCGTTTGCGATGTTGACCCTTTCAATCGCAATGCTCATTATCTTCGTGTTAAGATTTATTTACACTATGCGAGCCTAAGACGCATCTCACAATACATATGCATGTACAATCGGTTCCTACAATATTGAATCTATAATTGGTACTTATTAAATTAATAATTAAATTTTAGTTCTGCAAAATTGCTTTAAGGTAGTAATTTGGCATATCTTACGATAAAGTTAATTATTCAAATAAAATTCACGACATTTATTTTATGATGCAAATTAAATGTTATTGTTATTGCGCGTTATGAGATTTCTCAACAAAGACTACAAAGTGCAAATAAATCTTAATTTATGTTAAGTTACGAGGCTAATCCGTTGAATCATTGTTTGCAAAAATTATGTGTTAGAAGGTGTAATCGTAAAGAAATTATCATCGTTGTCTAGCATTATTTATTAGTTCTGTATTGAACCAATTGGTGGGTAGTCATAGAAGGAATGCGGATATTATGTTATGTATATATGAACAGTGAATGTTTTTCTCTGTAAGAAATAACAGAAATGGAAATGGAGAAATAAGTTGCTGTTTATTTAATTAGATTTTCTCAATATTTGAACATAAATTAAAAGAAAACAGATCTGCAAATTGACGGGGAGCATTGAATCAACAGAATTACAATATATACGAATAAATGGATTAAGAAGTATGTACGAATAAAATATAGTAAAGGAAATATTTGTGTTGAATAAAAAAATTCCGTTTAACTAAAGATAATGACAAATTGATGTTCCAAGAAGGAATAATTCAGCAATTAAGTTGACGTTGTTTGTTATTTTGATATCAAAATAATGTCTACTGAATAACTATTTCATAACAAATTAAAATGTTTTAATTTGACAGTATAAAAGGTAAAGATTGAAAAATGGCTTTGAGTTATGCTATTTATTGATTAAAATTTTTGATACAGTCCTTCAGAATAAATAATTTACAATCTATACAATGATTATATTGGATATTGAGTAACCCAAGGTTTCGTTGAAAATCATAGAATGCCATCAAGTGAGTGTTTTGATCAATAAAGTTTGAAGACGCATATTTAACAAAACAAAATGAAAGTAAGAGGCGATATATTAAAACTGATTTTTTTAGTTAAGAGAGGAAGGGAATTAGAAGAAGCGAGAAAAAGATGTAAATACAGAATTAATTATTTACCACCACAGGTTAACTGAAAAAAAGCTGAATAATGTATAAGTACTTCTCACTCTTTTTCGCCGTAAATAATTAAATTAGAATTTTCCACGATACTGCACTTTAATGTAGTATGATGCATTGCGTCGATGCTTTAGATGGCAATTTCCAAATTGCATCATTAGCGTCCTACATTTAATTCGGGAGTGAAAGCATGCTGACCGACTTATACGCATTGAGGAATTCCCAATGATGCTGGATCTCGTAAGAATTTATATAACGAACCGCTCGAGTTATCTCATATAGGTGATACAATACGTCTGACAAAGATATTAATATGAATATTTTGTAATACTATGCCGTGATATCAATATCCATTATAATATGAATGAAATACCTATGCAAATATTGATCGGTCGATGTCAATTTGTTTCACATATTGATTACTTACCAGTTACCTGTACGCAATAATTGTACAAATTTAGTCTAAGGTTAATATAATTGTTTAGCGCCGAGACACTATACCATGTCTCCAGATACTAATAATAGTTATTGATTCAACAAAATAAGATACATATCAAAACGCCGACTTCAGAAAAAAAATGAACTGTCGTTTTTGTATATTACCCATATAACACAAATCTCCAAGGGACGTTTGAAGCACATCCGTCTCAACATCCTAAAAACGTTTCCAGGAAGATCTTTGGGATAAAGTGTGCTGTATGGGTAAAAAGATGTAATTTATCTCAAGAAATGTTGAGGTCTACTAACAATACGCACTTTGCAATATTATGATAACAATATTAAAAAATATTTCATTAATAATTATTTAATTATTATGCATTTCATTAACAATTATTTCATTAATAATAATATATTTCATTAATAATTATTTAATTATTACGCAATTTTCTCTCTGAGAAATATCCTAAGATAAGAATAACAAACTTTTTTGAAAATAATATGTAGGGAAGACCGTGCGGGGACAAAAGTAACAGTACTATAGTAACACCGTTAATATTTCTTAAACTATAATGTAGATATGTGTATGCGGTTTCACGGTAAAATTCTGTAGACAGATCGGCATTGAATCTCATTACATTGCGGAATGTGCACGAGTGCAGGAGCAAAAATTACTTTTTTCGTGCATCAAGTAAGTTTTATTGCGTGTACAAAATCTAAAATTTTTTTTTCTTTATAATGACGATATAATGTAATTATCTTAATATGTTTTAATGATTATCTGCGTTGATGGTTTGCACATTTGAGTTGAATTTTATATGTAGGTGTTTATTTAAAAAATTTACAATTTGTATATGTTTATATATCAGTATACCTGTATATGAATTTGAGAAGTTTATTGTTATATAATTCATTTTTGTATAATTTATTATTGTTATTATTATATAATTCATTTTTAATTATACTATATTACTAATATTACTACATCCCGGTAAAAAATTTTTCATGCATGAATATGTATTAAGATAAATGTCCCAGTAGTCGGACGTTTAAATCAAGTAAATTCGGGGACAATTGTAACATTACAACTGACCCTAGGCATCGATGTTACTATTGTCTTCTAATGGTATTTTATGATTCATAAAATACCGGAATGTAGTAATAAAGTGTAAATATAATTAAAAATGAATTATATAATAATAACAATAATAAATTATACAAAAATGAATTATATAACAATAAATTTCTCAAATTAATATACAGGTATACTGATATATAAACATGTCTAAATTGTAAATTTTTTAAATAAACATGTATAAATTGTATATATATATATATACATATATACATATGTACATAAATCTACTTACTTTATGCGATAGTTAAAGATAATACGGATTAAAGCAAAAAGTATTTCGATATTAAGATCTTTTGATTCTAATCTCAAACTGTTGCCAAATGTGTTTTGTAATACCATATATTCTCCAAGTTATACGCACTATTCTACAAACTAAACGTTTTCAATTTTGTTCTGTTTTTATTAATATAGTTTTCCCATGTATTCATTAATACGAAATTAGATTGCTAAAATTACAAAAGTAATTTTTTAATCTCATATTTTGCCTTAAATAAACAATTTGTTAAAATAACAATTTTTGTTAATAAAAAGTTTGTCATATTTGCAGCATAAAGGATAAATAAGAATGTACTAAATAAAAATTACATATTGGATATTTTATTTAAATGTTTTAAATAATTTTTTACTCTAATAATTTTTTGAGATTCTAACAATATAATTTTCTTTGGGTATTATCAAAAGTTATAGGATATACGTATAAGTTTTATTCGCATACAATGTTGGCAATACTCGGTACTAATTTTCAATGTGGGTCAATGCTTGTTCTATGAGAAATACTGGGTACCTATAGTGTCGACATACATAAAAAAAAATCGTTTGCGCAAACATGCATTGAGCGTGCATATTTAACGTCATGCGTTTTGACACCTGCACCGTTAACGCTACTATCACTTTTTTTGCAGGCAGGATAGCAGCAATCTGTCTAGGTCTTCTTGCACTTGTGATCGGTATAGTGCTCAGTAGCATACCGTGGGTCGATTACATCATCTTGAAAGTAAGTATAAAACTTTTAGTTAGTAAATCTGTATAACAAATCAAACTAACAAATTTTAGTTAGTATATATATATACATACATTTGTGAAACGATATTCGGGTTCGATATTTGATAAATATGTAATACAATCATTACAGTATTTTAAAAAATTGTATTTAGCTTTTTATCGATAGTAAACAAATTTTAAAAAGTGTACATTATATATGAGTATAAAATGCTCTCTTATTTATGCTTTTAGAATATCTTTTACAAATCGCAATGAGTATATTTATCATCTTAAAAAAGAAAAGAAGAAATAGAAGAGCTGTAAATTAATTTAATGATGAATTTCTGAAACATAATTTTGTTGGCGATTGTTTATTAATTTAATCGTGTTCAGTCATAAAGTTGTTATTTTGATATATTTTGCCTTATTTACTTTCAAAATCAATTATATGAAATTATATAGTTTTATAAATAAAGCAAACATATTTAAACAAAATAATTTCTCACGCAATGAATATTTAATCTTTTTTACGGCAACCGTTTGTGAAGTGCATTTATATTCACAGTAAATACCTTCGGGAATGTCTTTCATTGTCCAAAGCCGTATTACGCACGCTCATTATGTCGTCTGCAGATAATTTATGTCTGCAAGTGCAAATGATTGTCAGCACAGCAATTATGAATCACATATATTACTATAATTTTTTTTGTATGAAGTGCTATTTGCACAACTTGAAATATTAGTACAATAATAAAGGGCTCAGAATAATATCAATTACAATAGTATAACTTGATAGGGTAACGAAGAGCCAACTTGAAATCAATTCAGAGATTATTATATAAGTAAATTTTATTATCTATTATTTACTTTAAAACTAACAATTATTATTACTATAATTAAGTAATTACGTATACTAATTTTTATTATTATTATAATTAAGTAATTATATATACAAATAAATAATTTAACTCTATTAGCAGTTATAATAGTTTATAATATCTATTTAGATAATATCTATTAAATATATTTATTAAAATATCGAATAGATAGAATAGATTTTATTATAATATCTATTAAATATAGTCTGCATGATTTTTTATAACATTATCTCATAAATTCCAACGTTTCAGCTATCTGTGAGATTTGATTAATCTCCGGAAAAGCGATTACATTAATGTCTGGTTATTTATCCATGCTTAGTTATTTAATTACTGCAATCTTTGCAACATAAATAAAGATTTATTTCCGTTTTTAAACTTTCTCTTTTCGCACATTTGCTTGTTATTGAGGATAATCAAAATAAAGATTTATTTACAAAAAGAATCTTGAAAGTGATTTCTCATGTCAATGATAAATAAAACAGTAGGGCGAGTTTCTCAGTATTACACTTTATTTTTATTCTTCTGTTTTTAATTTCTCCGGAAATTATATGAATCGCATCGTGAAATAGACATTTGAAATGCAAAGAATCTACTCGTGTAAGAATTTCAGGTGCTCCACGAAACGATTAATATGCAATAAATCGATCACTAATAATCCAATTTTCTAAGATTATAAAAACTTTGATGACTTTTTTTGAGTTGATTAATGACTATTTTGTATAAAAATATCATGATAAATTACTCTAAATGCAACGCCAACGTGCACGTGTACAAATTGCAGTTTTGATGTGAGAGAAATCATATACGCTGGTAATAATCTCGGGAATTCACCATTGCTTTCCAGCAACTACGACTCTGGAATGGCTCGATCTCGTTTCAATATTGGCAGAAGCCGGGCGTAATTCGATTGACCAAAGTCTATATATTTAACGTAACCAACACAGAAGGTTTCCTGCAGTATAACGAGAAGCCGAAACTCCAGGAAATAGGCCCGTTCGTTTATCGGTAAGATCTTTTGTTTATTTAACGTTGAGGCAATCGATGAGTACAGATTTAAAATTTGCGTTTAAATCTATTTTTCTTCGAATAGTTATGTATCTTTATCATTATTTTAATTTTTTTAAATCTTACATTTACATTTCAAAGTAATGTGCAAATTATCTGCATAATTCAGATTAGGTATATTTATATAAGCGTAATTTTAGACGAGTTTTTTTTTAATTCATTGACTGATCAATCGAACTATGCGCAAATGCAACTTCGTTTTGTAAAAATTGCATTTGCACATAATTGATTGACGCGATTGATCAATCGATGAATTAAAAAACTCGCTTTTTGTTAGGCAACAGTAATCAATAAGAAAATTGAATACCTACATACTTTTGCAGAGAGGATATGGAAAAAGTTAACATTGTGTTTCATAATAATGGAACCGTTAGTTATCAACATAAGAAAATTTTAAATTTTGTGCCTGAATTGTCTAAAGATGGAGATATTAAAGTGATAGTGCCGAATATACCTTTGCTGGTGAGTTAACGTAAAAATAAAATTGTAAATGTATTTTTACCACACGGAGATAATTTTTTCTTAGAGTTTATCCTGAAAATATGATTGTCCTGGGATAACACTGTATTTCGAAGAATTTTATGTAAATTTCTCTCATTCATTAATAAAATTACAATAAAATATATAATAAATTTGATTAATTTTACTGAGGTGTGCACACTCCAAATCTGTTGCAATGAAATTTCACTGCATTAAATTGAAATTTCAATACAGCCATTAGTGGCAATTGCGCCAATGTTACTGCCAGAATTTTACTGCAAGATGAGAATGGAAAATCCATTCGATAATTGGAGTAAAAAATTTACTCCAAAAAGGAGTGAATTTGGAATAATGACAGAATAATGTCAATTTCCAAACCCAGATAGCAAAGTCTGCGAAAACAAATTTTGAACAGAGCATGCTATCAATCTATTAACCTTATTTTTAATTATAAATTTTTAAAAAAATTATATACATTATAAATTTAATCTATTTAATAATAAAATAATGGTTTAATGATATAATGGTATATTCGTATATAATTTTTTGCAAAATAAATTAATCTGTCTCTTATGTCTATGTCATATGTGTCTCGAGATGCGTCTCGCCCGTAATGACCATGACAAACGATAAACATGCGACAAACGACATAGCGGTGTTATATTGCTAAATTCACTCCTTAAAGTAACATTCAATGTATCTTGCAATGCATTATCAACTAACGTTTAAACCATTTCGATTAATCAAATGAAATAGTCCACTCCTTTACGTACATACGAGTGGACAGATTAAGCAGTGAAAATCCACACTTAAAGCAATGATTTTGCTACTCACTTTTGTTAGTAGCAAAATTTTCATTGCTACGGATTTAGAGTGCATGGTAAAAATCTTTAAAATATTGTACCACAATTACCATATTTTCAGGATAAATTTTAAAAGATAATTCTGCATTAATATACTTAATAGAGTATTGGCTGGAGTATTCATCAAGGATTTCCAATGAGTGAAATGTCTAAAATTGAACATATTCTAAGAATTTTTAAAAAAAGATCTTTAAGATATTTCATTAAAGAATTCTGAAAGATATCTTAAAGTTGTCTTATGCGTCGATTTTAAACATTTTGCTCATTGGGTTTGAAGATATAAGTAAACAAGTATTTTTTTTTGTAGACACTTTCAACACAAAGCAAGAGTCTCCCTCGTTTAATTACAATGGGATTGTCAATTTTCTTGAGTGGATTAGATATGAAACCCTTTATTCCTATAACTGCGCAGGAATTAGTCTTTGGGTACGACGATCCGTTAGTTAGTCTAGGTCACAAATTTCTTCCTAAAACAAGACGGCCCATGAGTAGAATGGGACTTCTTCTTGGAGTGAGTATTATGTAATAATCATTATATATATATATTATATATTCGCTTTCTATATTTTTCTTATATGCAAAATAATTGCATCATAATATACATATACTGTATGTGTCAAATACTGTAGTCTAGAGTAATTTATAATCAAATCCCGATTGTAGAGAAACGGTACATTAAGCGAGATATCTACGATATTCACTGGACACACAGACATGAAAGAGTTCGGTTTGATAAATCGATTGAACGGGCTCGATCATTTGCCATACTGGCCAAACGCACCGTGCAATTCCATTACGGCTTCGGAAGGTAATCTTTTTTCTATTTTATTTTTACACATAAAATAGAACAGTATGTTAAAATTGTAATTCTCCTAAAATTTCATTGCAATAAATAAAACTGAGTTGTTTCGAGTAAACTTGGAATGTTCTTTGCAGGATCTTTCTTTCCGCCGCGAGACGAGACTGGCGCGGATATCGTTCACATTTGGGACAAGGATCTTTGCAGGACACTTCCGTTGCAATATCGAGGTCCAATAGAAAAGGCTGGTATCAAGGCGGATTTATATACTCCTTCGGATATAATTTTTACTCGAAATGAAACAGCTAAAGAAGATAACTGCTTCTGTTCGGATGGCATTGACACTTGCCCTCCGCAAGGCTTGCAGGATATTAGTCCATGCCAATATAGTAAGTGTTTTATATTTTACAAAATTAATAAAATTTCTGAACATCCCCTTCGAACTCTATTAAAAGATAAAATCCATGCTTTTTATTTCAGGTGCACCAGTATATCTCTCGTTCCCACATTTTTATAAGGCGGATCCTAAATTGTTAGATGCTATTGATGGACTCAAGCCAGTCGAAAACTTGCACGAAACATATTTCAAAATCCAACCAGTGAGTAAAAGCATAGAAAAAATATAATTTTAATTTCACGATATGCACCATATGCTCTCCTAATATATTATAGATTAAAAATTACTGTTATTGTATGTATAAACATAGTCTGCAATTCGTTTGTTAATTAAGCTTGGCTTAAAAATAATAATGAATACAAGTTTAAAGAAGTAATAAATAAATAGAAAATTAATAAATGAATTAATAAATAGATTTGCAGTTAAATAAATAGAATATAAATAGCGAAGACACCATGTCTAAAATTTAGGATACTCAAGATTTTTTTATTTTCTCAGAAACTAGGAGTACCGATTGAAGCAAAGGTTCGCGTTCAGTTGAATCTGAAGATAGAACGACAGTCCAATATCGGGGTGGTCGCGAATTTCCCTGATATAATATTCCCAATTATGTGGCTCGAGGAAGGTATAGAAGAGCTTACTCCGTCCATTAGGAGATATATTTATCTGGCGACCACGTTTGCCGACATCGCTGTGCCCTGCTTGTCGTGTGGCATGGTTCTAATCGGACTGATAGTCATTATTACGGTATTCGTAAAGGCGTATAATAGCCCGGTATTGGCGCACGAGGCGATCGAGCTTGGTAAGAGGACCATTAGAAGAGGATCGTCTTTCCTAACAACTAGCCAGCATCGATTGTTGGTCGGTCGGGACTCTTATATCTTACTAAGCAATAACGATATCGACGAGAAACAGAGTATGGAAGTATGATGGACATTGCTGTGTACGTGAATTCTAGTAGAAGCGCTGATGCTAAGCGTGTTTACAAAATGAACGGTAATTAATGACGTCTAGTCTTGATTTCTTGTAAAGTAAATCAATATTGATACTAATAAGACGTTCGTTAATACTAGAGAATAAAACAAATATTCAATAATTTGAGAAACAGAACAAATTTATTTCTTATTGAGCTTTTGAGGATTAGAACTTGATGATTATCAAAAGAATTTAGGCTTGTGAATAAACAGAATTTAGAAATCTCAGGTACTAAGGCGATTAAGATTTGAGATATTTAGAATTTAAAACACAAGTATGTAAAACACAAGGTACTCAAGATCCAGGAAATTTAAACTCTAAATAATTTAGAATATGATTAACCAGGATTTTAGTATTTAGCGGGAAATAGGATTTGCGCGAAGGATCATAGACTTGTATGAAGAAAGAACTCTTTATCAAGACTTTATTCATTAATCAATTCTTATACAATTTTTTTTATGCAACTTACTGAAAGATTATGAACCTTTTATTTACATATATAATTTAGGGTTTATTTTCGGTTTTATAATATCATTAAATAGAAGCAAAAACCACGTATGTTTATCAATATTTCTAGGCTAATTAGGACTTAGAAATTATAATTAATCTCAAATGTTTGGAACTACGTCGTTTAAATTGGATTTAAGCATTCTGAGTATATACAATTTTAATATTCAATTTTATTATAAAGTTAAATAAATTAACGTATGTATATACGATAAATATTTCCTCTGTTATTTGTGAATGATTTGCCACCTTGTCTAAAAATCAGATTAAAAATTAAAGCTAGGCGTCATTAATTGGTAATAAGATTAAAATTGTTGTACGAGCTCCTGCGAAGTATGATAGGACATAGTGTAATATGAAATGCGTTTTGTATGACTACTACGTACACCAAAGTTATGACGGTCAAGAGGACTAATTAATTAATTACAAAATATGTACAGCCAAAATTGGTTTGTATTTTATATGTAAAAAGTCTTCTTCATTTTTTATACGGATTTATTCAGTTGAAACCCGCAGAAAGTTTTGTCGTTTAATGGAATTCAAATTCGCCAAAGAATACATATGCACATATATATATGTATGTGTGTGTGTGTGTGTGTACAGGGTGACCCATCTCTTGAAACCATACAACTTTTGTCTGAAACATTTTCTTGTAAAATGCAAAGGAACGGAAATATTTGGGGTGATAGATTAAAATGGGTCACCCTGTATATATGTATAATATGTACAGAGTGAGGCATACAACTTGCACACCTCGAAAAACTTCTAAACTATAAGTTGTATGAAAAACTATTATATACAAAAGTTGCATGACTTCGAGGGGGCCATTACATAGTGCATAAATTTTTTTTATAAGTGGAGGTCTTATAAAAATTTTAAGGTCAGCTTCATTTTTTAAATGGAATTATATAAATATTTTATATCAATATATGCCGGAATAAAATATTTCGTAAACTATTGGTTTTTTTTATATCTTTATCTTAATACTTTTATATGCAGAATAGTTAAAGAAATCTATTAGAATAGTAGAGAAAAATATTATGTAAAAAATTCATATAATTTTATTTAAAGAAATGAAATTGACTTTGAAATTTTTTTAACGTCTTCACTTATAAAAAAATTTATACACTATGTAATGGTCCCCTCAAAGTCATGCAACTTTTGTATATAACAGTTTTTCATACAATTTATAGTTTACAAATTTTTCGAGGTGTGCAAATTGTATACCTACCCTGTATATACTATATACATATATATAAAATAATATATACATATATATATACATATTTATATCCATGATCTTTCACAAAATGTGTGAAAGTAACACACAACCATTATAATACTATATAGTTATAATGAAGTGTAATACAGTAGCATTTTCCATTTTTAATTATGGAAGAAAAGGCAAAATTTTGGGATTTGATGGATTGTAAGTGCACAATAATTAGGAATTACCTGATAATTTTTAGTATCGCATGAAATCCCAAGATCATGTAAAATATGTTATTGTGTCTGTGATTCCATCCTTATTTATAAATAATATGTAGTATGCATTCGAATAGAGAGCAACGAGGGGAAAAGTTTCATTGGCAATTATGCGAATGGACGAAACTTTCACTCGTAGCGTAACAGGATAGCGCGTAAGATGATGCTTCTTCTCAACGTGTCTCCCACTAGTACTCAGCCATAAAATCTAGTGCAATATTAGTGATCGTATGTTAAGTATACCATCGCCGGCAATGTATGATGAAACAACGTCGATTAGAAGTAAGTTCAATTGCACCGACAACTTTAGCGCTATATTTGTATTTGTGTAAAGCTAATTTCGGTTAATTGATTGAAGGAACGCAGTTCTAGCTATAGAAGAATATTGGAAAAAAATTTAGATAATTACGGTTAATGTTAAACGACGTCGATGCGTTATAAGTTAATTATGATTTGACAATCAATCAAATGTGTGATACATCGAGGACGCAACGCGACTATGTATCACATTTTAGTACTTGTAATCTATTCCGAAGATGAAAACACTGTAAGATAAGCTTGTTATTGCCCGAATAGAATTTTGTAATTGGACTTTAATAAAACATATTTATCCAAATATTACTATACATCTTTTACTTTCTGCTGTCATCTATTTTATATACTATAGCATGTCGATTTATGGAATGCGCGTCTTTCTGATTATATGGAATAAATTCCTATAATTAATATTTATAGTGCCTAATAAAGATCTTATTAATTCAGTCGGCATTAAAAATTCTCGTCGCTGTAAATGAGAGATAGGAATTGACGCGATATGTGTAATACAGAAGTTATATTAATTCTATGTAAATCGATCGATGATACTTATTTCTTTTATATTGATTATTGGAGATTTCCGGTTCCTTGACGGTTTTGGTCCCAGCGATAAACATATATCGTAAGTATATATTTTATAAAAATATAATGAATTGTAATGTCTCTTCAAAATTTTGTTGATCACAGAATTGTGCATGTTTTCGACTGGAATGCAAAGAAAAAAATTCAATAATAATCGTATTACAAAATAATAAAATTATATCTCTTCCATGAAATATTTTTTATGTTATTTCAGCTATACCTTAGCTTTCGGATTGCTTTTTTCTGCGCTGCTTGATTTCTTAGTTCCATTTTGTTCCTCTTGTTGCCGTTTTCCTTTGAACAATCTCGCCATTTTAGCTAAAAGACAATAACCAATTGTGTAATTTTTATTCGCAAATTCAAACATTCTAAAATTAATAACTGATTGACAAATAAAACTCTCTTTCACAAAGTGAATTTAATTTAAATAAGCGAAAAAGTGTAGAGGTCTTATTCGGTCAAAGCGGATCTTGCCTAATAATATTTTTGCATGAATTTTACAATTTTTAGTTTATGCGAACTGTGCACTGATTATTTGTTGGTCTTAAAACACAGTCCTAAACTGAAACCGGAGTTATACAATACACAATACTTTCTAAATTCCTTGGCGTGAAATCTCACTTCAAAAGAATGAAAATACTGCCATCATTAAAAAAAAGTAAAAATATTTGCACTCTTGAATAAAAGTGGTAGATTTTCATTCTTTCTTTGGAGTAGGATTTCACTCTTTTGAAGAGAGAGATTCACTCCAAAATAAAGAAATCTCACTCTAAAAGAGTAAAATGTCATTCCAAAAAAGTAAAAATTTGCCACTTTTATTCAGGAGTGATATTTTCATTCTTTTTCAATAGTGACAGTATTTTCTTTTGGAGTGAGATTTTATTCTATGAAATTTGCAAACTAGATATCACAAATTAAATTAACAAGCAATTTAATAATATATTATTTTTAATTTATGATATATTATTTATGCTAATAAATTCGCTGTAAAACATTTATTGCAACAAATATCACCTCAGCCAGGATTCAGATCAAAATCTTTCTACATTCGGTGGGCGGTTTTAATAATTGTGACTACCAAAACGTGTTTTATTTAATTCTTGAAAAGAAGAGATATGCCTGTTTTACCTGTTCGCGGCGCTGGAGATTGTACAACATCAGCATCGTCCTGTATGTCCACTTCTGCTTTCTTTGGTTCTTCAATGTTTTCATCTTCCTCGACTTTTTCTATCGAATTTTCAATAGCTTCCACAGTTTTTTGCGAAATTGCTGATAATGATTTTCTAGCTGTTTTTGCACTTAAATTTTCTTCGTTACTCGTCTTCATCTCTTCATCATCTTTTTCTTTTTCATCTTCTTCGTTCTCCTTTGAAGATTCTTTTTCGCTTGCATCTTCGATACTTGCAGATTTTAGTCTCGGTGGTTTCGGTGGTGGTATAGGATTCGTCGTCGTTTTCTGTTCCTTTTCCTCTTCTATCCTCGAGACTTCTGATTCTGTACATTCCTCAATATCTTGTGCCTCTATCGCGCACACTGCTGTTTCCATATTTTTATTATTTTCTTGATTTTCATTATTTTCATTAATATCTTTACTTTCATTACTTCCTTTGCTTTCAATATTTTCATTATTATAATCCTCATCGTCGATTTGATCTTTTTCTTGAGAGCTTTCTGATGGAATAACTTCCGAAGATGGATTTGTAATTTTTTCGTCTTCTGGTGAAGGTGAAATTTCTTCGTTATTAACAATATCTGTATTTTCTTTTGGCGAAGAATTTGTTCGAATGTCATTATTATTAGATGTTTCACTAATTTTATCATTATGATGTGAATCATCCTTTTCGTCTGTCGATTTTTCTATACTGTCCATTCGATGTTCATTCTGCATATTTATAGGAAGTTTTAAAGGAGGTAGAGAACTTTTTTTCTGTTCCTAAAATTGATAAGAACCCATAAGCAAATGTATTAATTAAAAATAAAAACATAATTAATAATTCATTTGTCATACAAATCTGTGCATAATATAATTGCATTTACCATGGAATCCGATTGCCGTCGCGATTGATAATCTATCTCATGTCTTCGGCCAACTAATATTGTATGACATCCTCCACAAGCAACCTTACAAAGTGAACAAAACAATTAGAACGCGATGAAAATATGATACATATTTATTTAAAAAGGAGAAAGAAAATTACATCTGAAACAAAAAGCTCTTGATACTTGGCAGCAAATGTTACTTCATGAACATTATTTTCATTTTCTTCTAGACCCAACTTTCCGTGTCGACCATCGCCACAAGTGAAGAGTTTGCCGGACTCTGTTATTAATAATTATAACGCGATTAATAAGAGGTTTACAGACTCCAGAACATAATGATTAAAGCAGAATTTTAATTACCAGTAAGTATAGCAGTGTGACTTTCACCGCAAGCAATTTTGACGATTTTTTCATCTTGAAGAGCCCCGCGTGAAAGCAGTTTTGGTGTATATGTATCGTTAACATTTATGCCCATACCAAGTTGTCCACTGGCGTTACTGCCAGAACAGTAAATATTGCCATTTTCTAAAAATGCACAGTTAATTTTTACAAATCTTGTAAAATTCCTGTTATTATACAGCCATAATACTCTCAATTTATTGCATTTTTTTGTTTTAAAAAGGCAGTAATAAAATCCAAAGGAAAGTTAACAAAAAATATCGAAATTGTTATATTATAAAAACAAATATTATTCTTTAATAAAACTTTTTGAATTTATTTTTCGTTAAGTATAGAACGTTTACATCAATTTGTGGGAGAAAAGATTATAATATTCTAGAATACAAAAAATGAAAAAATATCAAATCAGAATTTTTAGCCACAGATTTGTGAATACAAGCCGCATTTAAAGTATATCGCTATCAAAATCTATTGATCCCAACCTGCTAGTATAATTGTGTGATGACCACCACATGCGACATGAAGTGCCGGTGCCGGCAATTGCATCTGTTTCGGTGCAATTTGCGTAGAAAAATTGATGTTGAGTCCGAGTTTACCACTTTCCGATTCGCCGCAGACATAAACGAGACCACTTTCTGGAAACAAGCCATATTATATACATACATGCTAATATATTTTACAATCTCTCGTGTTCATGCGAGCAGCGATAAGCATGCCGCAGCGGAAGCGATTTCATCTTGCAGAAAGTGTACTGTGACGTTCCAGAATGACAGATTCTTGGAACTCAATTTTATTTTCTTGGATCAATATCTTAAAACAGTTTACTTTTCTTTCTTTTGCACTAAACGAGTATAAAAAAGATATTTTGTAGAAAAAAAAACATAAAGCGTTTCATAACGTTTTTGTTTATTTGCACGTACACAGTTCAAGCTATTATATAATTTATTATATCGCGTAAAAATAAGTGTTATCATCAAACATCCATTACCAGTCAAGAAAACTGAATGATAATATCCCGCGCTGATTTCCTTTACCGGTTCAGGAATGGGAATCTTCATAGGCTTGTAAACCAAACCTGAATTTTCTGGTAATCCTAACTGTCCTTCCAGATTGCTTCCCCAGGCCACAACTCCTCCATCGCTTGTCAGAGCCATCGAATGATGCGATCCCGCTGCAAGTTGGACGATCCGTGGTCCAGCGAGCCCACAATCGTAGACCAAGATTGGAGAACTGGAACTATCACCTATCATGGAATTTTCCCGACCTAGTTGACCTTCTTGGTTGCTGCCGCACGCAAAGATTTTTTGGGCACCTAAAAATCATTTCAACATAATTGTTTGAGTTGTTTATTAACTAAGAAATTAAAAAATTTACATATTTATCAAATCAAAACCGTTTGTAAAAAGATAATAAAATAAAAAAATTAATTTAACTTTCGTTCCAAAATGTTTAATTAAGATAAAAAATTAGAAAATCCTCTGATAAAATTAACTGTAAGAATATTTTTGCAAGCTATTTGCTTGAAGCGATCTTAATCATTTAATCGAAATTAACATCTCGAATTCCTATTTAGAAAGTTAGCGAAGTGACGTGCCATTTAAGAGAGTTCTTATCCAGTTGATCCCTTCAAAGAACAAGTTTGAAGTTGAATGACTTGGCAAATATTCGCTGAAGTTCATGACACGCAAAGCCACATATAGAAACGGTATGTTCACTTAATACCTGCCATCCGTTAATAGCAGTTATATATATATGTATAAAGAGTGTTCTAGACATCATATATTTAGAATAATGTCTATTGCTTTGACAAATATAGAATCAATTATTTAGTCAAAAATTAATTTTGCATTTTTCATTGCTTAGATCTTTATGATATATGTTATGTTGAGAAAATTTCATAGATTTAGATTTTTATATGTATTATCCAGAGAAAGTACGTTTTGGAACACTCCGTATATTACGATACACTCCTACGCATAATTCGCTTCTTACCTGTACATATTAAAGTATGCGCTCTCCCACATGCGACGTGTGTGACTTTTTCCGGTTTCAGAACTAAAACACGTTAGATTCTCATTAAAATCATAAGTAGAATTTCATTAAACAGAAGGATTTTAGAATAAATAACTTCGACATTTAGTAACTATAAATTTCTGACATGTTTTACAGATAAAGTGACTTTGAAAGAAATTCATATTCATAGAAACTAAATTTAATGATATACATATTAGCAAGAAAAGAATGTTAAATGTTAAACATAGAACGTAGTCATTTAATATTAAATCTAGAACTTAATTTAATATATTAAATGCAATTATTTTATCAATGCAAATTTTTTGCTGTTACGATAGGATGGCTACAAACTTTTTACACACGATGGTTTGCTGATATGGTTTTTATGACCCAGACCCAGTTGACCCCAATCGTTACTGCCAAAGATAAAGAGTCTGCCAGTTTCTAAAATAAGAAAGGAAACAAGGCGGCTGAAGCATCAAAATTGAAGAATACATTTACTTAGATTATAAAGTCCACAGAACATTAAGATGGTATCTGCATTTACATAACAAAATATTCAAGAAATCTAGGATTTAAAGTATGTAGAGATATAAATTTACGAGCAATAAACATATAGTTACATAATTTAAATTGCGATACTAAATAGATAGCATAACAAGTAAACGTGTATACAAGTGAAGATCTAAAGATCCAAAAGGAGTCATAGGAAAATTATACAGAGAAATGCGTAAATATGATTTTGTCATTTAAGTAGCAATATATTATAGAAAACAAACGAAATAAAATTTGCATTGCAAATACAAAAATATTAATGTTTAGTGTATAACTGCGAGATTTAAACAATGTTTCATCATCTTTTATTATTATGTATAGCCTCTTCTTCATTTTCACTGATATGCAATATATTTTTTTATATGTGAGGTAATAACATAGTACGCGTTTCATCGAGACGCGTAGAGCTAATAACATTAACAATGTCTGCTACACCAACCACTATGTGTTCAATATCGATTAACTGGGCAATGTATATTCCTATGTAAGCATAACTGAACTATATATACTCCTTGCACACATACATAGCATGCTACAGAAGCTGTGATCATATATAGAATTGTACAGCTTCGCATTACAAAATCATTTCATAACGCAGTAATTAAAATTGGCGATTTTAAATGTGTGTTATTAAATATAAAAACTGAGCAATATAATATAAATACACGAATAAGAATTAGATAATAGTTCGCAACTAAATTCAGGAAAAAAAAGAAAAAAGTTACTGCCAAATTAATTATAACAAAAGTATTCTTGTCTTTTTATTAATAAGTATCTATTTTGTCTGCAAACATTGCTTATTACGAATACATGGTTTACTGTCAACGCTACACTTTGCAACATTGATTAACGATAATCAATGAAAGGTATAACCAATCTGTATTGTTAGTTCCTTCCTTATAAGAATTATTTCTTTCCAATAATTTAAGTTAGATTTATTTCAAATTAAATTTGAATATTATTTGGAGCCAGTATGATATCTAAATTATTCAGTTTGGATCCAATCTGAGAGGATGGTATCCATATAGTAATTAGATTTAATCTGAATTTAATTAACCTAAATTAGTTTCACTTATTTTGAATATCGATGATTCACTGAAACCGATGCTGGCCGGATTATATTGGATTATGTCAGATTAAACTTGGATCATTGACTTTTCAGGAGCTAATGTATTATAAATTTCTCTGTAAAGAAATAATTTCAATACTTACGACAAACAACGGCGGAGTGTTCATCCCCACATTCAATGGTAACAACCGGATCCTTACGTATGAAGAAATGCGACGCAATGTTGTCCGCGAATCTGCTACGGCCGATCGTGAACACTGCCCCAGTCTCTACAATGTGCAAAAGTCGATACATCGTTAAATATTGAAAGTAACATGGAGCTTCCTGTTTTAATTCGTGTGAATTTTTCGATTGATACTCAATCAATCTCGTATTTCGATTTTTGCTTTAAAATAATAAGCTTCCTTTTTAGAACTTCATACTAAAAAATTTATGGTTAAAGTTTTTAATATAAATCTCTGCTTAAAATCATATCTTTATTATTATTATTATTATTGTTGTTGTTATATTATCATTATTATTATTATCGTCTTTAAAAATCTATCCTGACGTATTTGCAACACGCACGATCATAATCATTGCACATTGATCTTTTGCGAAGTTATAAATGCATTATAAATATATTTATATTACATGTATTTGCGTGTGAAACAACTACAGTTATCAGCAATCTAATCTCCGACTTAAACAAAAGTTATATATTTCCAGATTTATCACGTGTAATATAATTTATATAATCATGCATAGAAACGTAACCTTTAATTTTTTTTAAATCAAAACTTCAACACTATTTTTAGAAAAAAATTGAATACGATTGTTATTATATCTAGTTATGGCAATTTAATTTAACCTTTTATAGATTTTTCTATTTCTGAACATTATATGAGTGGAAATATTATGAATATATTAGGTACGACAACGAAGTACAGTTGAGTGCAAGTTTTATCACTGCGTAACCTTGGCATAAATTAGGTTTAAAAGCCAACATGAAGTAAAAAGGACCGGAAAGACGTTAAGACACTAAATGCTGTTCTAACACGAGATTAACGGTGGTATTTCAGCCTCACTTTGCAAAGGTCAATAACGCAAAACCGGCGATAAATCCTTTGAAATCTACGCTTACGTTTTGCTTATCAAAAGTTCAAGGCGGCCTTTTGCATAATTCATTACGCATCTGTCCTTCATTTGGACAGTAACATGAACTATCTCATCAAGAATCATTCTATTAAAAACTTTTTTAAGTAAGTCATGAAATTATAGTGAAAAGTATAATTATAATACTTGAATCTTTAGTCTGAAAGTATTTCCTTCAATCTTTAAAAATTTTCTTAAAGCTTTAAATTTCTAAATTTTTATATTTTTAACTTTGCAAAATTATTAGCTCCCAAATTTTAGCTCCAAGTTTTAGCTTAATTCATAAACAATAATATTATCTAGACTGTTGTATGAATAAATCAAATAATTAAGGAAAAATGCCTATAAACAATCGCGACTAGATTTTCTTCTTCTTCTTATTCTTAGTTTAGGGCAAGCCCTGTATCATTCATCTTCAATGCTGTTGTTCTTCTTGGGAGGTGGATGTCCATGATTCCACCCATCGTTTGGATGGGCGTCCCGGCGGTCTCGTGGAGTTCGGTCTGCCAGTTTTGGCTATTTTGGCTAGTCTGTTTCTATTCTTTCCACGTGTGCATTCCATTCTCGTCTTCTTCTTCTCCTTGTCTATCGTATCACGTCCTACATCTCACATCTCTTTCTTATCTCCTCGTTCCTGATCTTATCCAGAAGTGTGACGCCAGCTATCCTTCTTAGGCCTGATTTCACAATATACAGGGTGTTTCCAAATTAAATCGCAAAACTTCGGGAGCGTGTAGAGGAGTAAAAAACTAAGAAAAAAAGTCCTATAGACATATGCTCGTTTTTGCTCCGTTTCAGAGAAATCGAAAAAAAATGTTTACATTTCTTGCCATATCTAGCACCGACATATTTGATTACATTTTCCACTTTCTGTTATGAATTTGTCAGTCGCTCTTTGAAAGCCTTTAACAGTAGATGAATTTTGTCTTTTGCAATATGCCGCGTACGTATTCTAATAGTGAATATGCTGATATGGTTTTTGTATACGGTTTCTGCAACGGTAATGCTTTAAAGGCGGTGCGAGAATATGCACGACGATTTCCAAACAGAAGAGTGCTGAGCAACATTTGAGAAATCGTATCGTAGCTGCAGCGAACAGAATATCGCAAGAACAGTGCCTGGCTGCTACAAGAGCCGTGTTTGACAGATGCAATGCTTGTATTGCTGCAAGAGGTGCACATTTCGAACAAAATCTTCATTAAAAAGTTTATAAATAAAATAATTAAAATAATAAATTAAATATATTTTTTTCTTTTTTCGTGATTTCCTGCGAAACAAAGCAAAAAGGAGCATATGTCTATAGGACTTTTTTTCTTAGTTTTTTACTCCTCTACACGCTCCCGAAGTTTTGCCATTTAATTTGGAAACACCCTGTATAGTTACCTAAGGATTAAAGGTAACCAAGAAATTCATGAATGAATTTCATTGATGAATCTATTGGTAATCTTTAATTTTTAGGTAACCATATATTGTGAAAATAGACCTTAATGTCCTTATTTCTATTGACCTCATAATATGTTTTAACCCTGGTGTTTCCGCTCTTGTTCTCGCCGCGTATGTGAGTATCGGGCGTACTGCGGTTTTGTATATTCGGATCTTGTTTTTGGTGGAGATAAATTTATTTTTCCATATGATATCCCATAGGCAGCTCGATACCTGCGCTGCTTTCGCGGCTTGTATTTGCGTTTCTTTATAGTGATGTTTCTGTTGTACGAGGCGATGGTTCCCAGATAGTTGAAGGATGATACCTGTTCTATTATCTAGTCATTGGCTATTAGTGCCAAATTGGCTACTTTGCATCTGATGGGCTTCCTAGATATGACCATTGATTTTGTTTTTTTTTTACCTATATTTTCATGTTATATTTGTTTGATGCTCGGTTGAACTCGAGGAGTAATCGATGCAGGTTATCCTCGTTCTCTGCTATATGAAGACCGCATCGTCTGCATAGCACAGTATCTTGATCTCATCCTTGCCCACTGAGTATCCTTTGCTTTTCATCTTTACACTTTCAATTATTTTATCCATGATGGTATTAAATAGTATAGAGCTCAAACTATCGCCCTGGCGTATTCCTGTCACTGGAATCTCCTATGTGAATTCGCTGTCTCTCTTGATCTTTGTAGTGTGTTGTTTGTGTTCATGTCTTCTATTAATGTAATTATTTTTGGGTCTATTTGTTTTTCGCGCAATGTGTGTACTACGTCTGTCAGTTTTATCCGATCGAAAGCTTCCCATACAGTACCGAAAGTTTTCAGAAATATCTCAGAAATATTTCAACTGAAAAGTGAAACATTTCATAAAAATTGCGAAATATATCTGCAACATTTCTGAGACAGTCCTGAAATAGAAAAATGTTCGCGATTCTTGCACATGAAACCTTGTTGAAAGATTAATGAAATGAAAGATGATTAATGTTACAGAAAGAATCTGCAATCTTTTTGAAATATTACTAAAACTACTTTTTGAAATATTATTAAAAAGTTTTCAGTTATTTTTAGTACTTCGAAAAATGATATTTAAATGATATTTAAATATATATTTGATTGATACTTCAATAATATTTAAATTTATTATGTCGACATAATAAATTTAAAAACACTATTCTTTTTACTTACATCTTTTTGGATAAAAATCTGCCTTTTTTTTGGAGGATATTAAAAAAGGCTTGACTTTTGCCCAAAAGAATATAAATAAAAGAAATAGTGTTTTTTGTAGATCTCCTGAATATGATAAAATTATTAAAAAGTTGGCATGTGGGGAACACTTTGTAAAGTAAATAAGAATATTGAAATTTCTTTAAATATATCATGTTCATGCTTAATTTTCAAGGTGTTCCCTATCGATCCCGAACTTTTTATTAACATTATCGTATTCAGGAAGTCAAAATCTATAAGAAACGATTCCTTTTACTTACACCTTTGTAGGCAAAAATCGGCCCCTTTTTAACATCCTTCTTTGTATTTAGTCTATTTTTATATAAAAAAAACATGCCCTATACAATATTTTGGTTGCCCTACTTATATTACTAATATTATAATTTTGCAATGTGTAAGAAGAATCATAACATTCTAGAAAGATAAAAACAAATGTATTCCGCTTTATAGAAAAATTGATGATCCCCGAGAAGTTCACATATTTTCTAAGGCTATTGACCCAAAGGTCGGTTAATAGCCGCCAAATTGCTCGGCAATGCAATGTATGTACATAATCTAATAGTCGATAGCGATTCTACGCGGATAGCAATTCATTCATATGCAAACATTCAAAATACAAGCAGATTAGATTATATCGAAAGCAGTGTGGAGGCTACATATGTGTACATTGAAGAAATATATAATATTATATTTAAAAGTGCAAATAATTTTAAAGATAAAATTTTGTTAAAGATAAATTGAAAAAATAAAATTCTTTTTAAAGAGATATAAATTCATCAGATAAAATTCTTTTTATGAGAGAACGAGAATAGCTGTGAACATTATGTATATAAAAAATACATTATATTTATAAAATTATTGTTAAAGATTAGATAACAGAAAACACAATAAAGACTTCTGATTATACAACATATCAATGAAAATTATAAAGGAATGTTGGAAGTCAGAACGATGCTCGGTTCTCTAATAACAAAAATCTTTTTAATAATTCAATAAATTAGATGATATATACATACATAATTAAAGAGAGATTTAATGATAAAAAAATTATAAAAAATTTTATTATTGCAAATGTACACCATTTACCGCGCTATTCCCAACATCTCTTTTAACTCCACTGTACTGTTAAATCTATAGTGTCAAATTTAAGCAAGTCACTCGACGCTTCAATATATATTTAAAGAAATTTTAATATTCTTGTTTACACATTTTTCAAGGTGTTCCCCACGTGCCATTAACTTTTTAATAATTTTATTATATTCAGGTTAAAATCTACAAAAAACTACAAAAATTATTTCTTTTATTTACATCTTTTTGGGTAAAAATTTGCCTTTTGAAGGATATTAAAAAAGGACCGACTTTTGTTCAAAAGAATATAAATAGAAGAAATATATACTGTTTTTGTAGATTTTGATTTCCTGAATATGATAAAATTATTAAAAAGTTCATGGTATTTGGGGAACACCTTGAAAAGTAAACAAGACTATTGAAATTTCTTTAAATATATCATATTTATACTCAATTTTCAAGGTATTCCCTATCGATCCCAAACTTTTTATTAACATTATCGTATTCAGGAGGTCAAAATTTATAAAAAGAAACGCTATTCTTTTTACTTACACTTTTGTGGGCAAAAATCGGTTTCTTTTTAATATCCTCCTTTATCAGACGAGTTAAGTGGTAGTCTGGTGAGTAGGAATTTTTTATCCCAATTCGTTTATCTATTGCAATATAACAGTGCGCGATAACGCCGACCAGTAAGTTAATGATATGAATGCGCGTATATGACTCGCATGAACCACAACGGTGGCATTAGCCGATTAACGACCGGATTGTGCTGGTAGTGGCACGCTCCTAAGCAACCAGCTACTGTTCGTTATTGAGGACATTCAACGCCACGCTGATTAAAGAGCCGGCTAAATAAAACGATTTTGCAAGCTTATTTAACGAACGAATTGTATGCCGTTGATCATAATTCGCAAGGAAGAACTCGATTGCAGATATCTTGTTCTATAAGCTGTACAGTAAAACTTGGCAACTTAAATCGCGTACATTTGCAACTTTCACGACCCCGCGTCGGTCATGCAATTCCAACAACTCAATTATAATATATCATTTGTCATCGAGTGAATCCTGCGACTACATACTCGCAATCGCTCGATAGCAGTGGATTATATTGCAATAGAACGTATCGATTTTCGTTTCTTCACGCCGCAACACGGCACGCGAAATAAGAGGGTACACGTTGGGGGTTTTAATAATGCCGGGGAAGTTGTGGCTATTGTTCAAGGGATCGATTACACAGTCGGCGTTACGATGATCCACGATACTCCACAAATTTGCAGTGCATGATGAATTTGTGTACGTTAAAAAAATTTCTTTTTTTTCTCTCTCTCTTTCGTGTGTGTGCGTGCTTTTTCAATTGTTTTTTTTTAAATTATTTTACCGGGTATGGTCTCTATGTCTGGCAGGCCCATGGTTTGCACTTTGCGCCGCGCAACTTGCAGCCAACTGACCGCCAGGTAAGCAGGCATGCTCACCGGCGCGGCTAGGCCGCGTTCAAGCCGGCCACGTATCCTAGCAACTGGAAATCAATTTCTAATGGCAAGTATGGCAACATGCGCTACTGCCTTTCTTTAAAGCTAAAGAACGGGAGCAATCTTCGACAGTGTCGAAAATGACCGATTTTGTCATGCCATTTTAATTCTCCAGAACTAACATCAAAATCTGTAACACAGTTATTGATACTGGATCTGTATAAGATTCATTTGTCGATTAAATGGCACTAATTAATTTGAAGAAACCACAAAATGATATAACTCGTATAAAAAAAGAGTGAATACTAAATATATTTTTATAAAGAAACATAGGGCCCATTTAACTTATATTGATTATAAGGAACTAAAATGACATAACTTGTATAAAAACAAATGAATATACTTAATTCAGCAAACATCAAATTTATACATGTAATGTATCCGTTCTCAGATGACATAGCTGATGTTTTTTCATCGTTGTTTTAACGATATTATAGATGTCATTTTGAAAAATGATAACAAAATAATGACAAATAATGTCAGTTTGTTACTTAGATATAAATTCCCATTCAACATATAAATGTAATAATATGTAACTATACGTGTTATATTACAGTTATATTGTTGATTGTAAAATTACAATTGTAACAGATACGTTATATGTAACTTAATGTTTGCTGGGAGAAATATAGATATTTTAATAAGAATAATGTAAATTTGCAAATCTCAAGGAGAACAAGAAAATCAAACTAATGTCAATTTGACGAATTTATGTCATTTTTTTTGGTCGTGATAAAAATCTCGATCTCAGATGATCTAAGAATGATTTTATATATAAAGTTTATATATAAATTTATATATAAAGTCATTTTTAGATCATTTAAGATCGAGATTTTTATCATAATTAAAAAATGACATAAATTCGATCAATATAACGTCAAATTGACATTATTTTGATTTTTTTGTTCTCTTTGGGATGTAATATAAAAAAAATTGAATTATTTTGTTATTTGACAAAGAGATTTATAATTGAGTGAGTTCAATTTATAGACCTACTCATCAATTCCAGAAAGTTAAGTTTCGTTTCTTCTTATTATTTCTTCACTCGCAAAAGCAAAAGATAGCACATACATTATAGCTATATGTTACAGTTATACTATTAATTAATGTATATTTAGCATGTTATATTGATTTCTACGTAACACTCTAAAGATATTTATCTCTTAACGTAAATATATAATAAGTTTGCGGGAGTGCTTTAACAATATTCACAATGCACAGAAAAAGCTGATATTATTTCAGATTGAAAGGTATAGAGATATGGTCCATGCAATTCTTATAAATGAATAAAAATGCATTCAGGATTGAAAAGCATTCATTTTAACACTCGTGAATCCATATTTCTGAAAATCTGAATCCATTTCAGTCCATTCTCGTTTGCTGGGTCTTTCTTCTGGAGAGAAAAAGAAGAAAGATGAGCCAGTGCAAAAGTTAAGTCAAAAAGAACCTGTTTAAAGCTAGAAACACAATGGATATAGGCAATAGGTACAAGCAACAGGGAATAACGAGCCGTCCAATCAGAGCTCTGGGATATAATATCGAACTTATATCCTAGAGTTCTGATTGAATGGCTCGTTATTCCCTGTTGTCTGTGCCTATTGCCTGTGTCTATTGTGTTTCCAACATGTGTCGCTTACTGGAAAGCATACCATATATCAATGGGGTCCCAGGGATCTGTGGATAATTGAAGAACAATGATATTATCGATAATTGATACAAATTTATGATTTTTAACATAATAAAAATATTTGAATAATACATTATTAAATTCATTATTTTTTATTATATAAATACTGTATAAATATATAATAGTACATATAGTTTTAATGATATATTTTATATATTGCCGAAAAATTACAACTTTTTTTACAGTTAATATCTCCATTGATAATCAAACTCGGATGATAACATTAAAATCACAGTTTTAAATAAAAATCGAATATTGTTAAGTTTTAAACATATTATATATATATATTATATATATATATATATACGTGTCTACGAAACTAATGAATCATGAAATTAGTACTATAGTATCATTAATTATTTTTAGTAATCACTTAAATTTTAACAAGCATGTAAACTTTTGTAAGAGTGGCCGTCTTTAATCTGCAATTAAAAAGGGGGGATCATCAATTAGTTCTAACGTTTCATTAAATTTTGATTATTAATGTTGCGTTTGACGTACAGGTAGCGCTGGCATCGCGTGACACCTGCCACAGTCGCGTTCAATGTGTATCACGCGTCGGTCACGTAGGCTCGCTTTCTATCAATTGCTCGATAAGATTTAATTATTTTCAGTGTTGATTGTCGTAAGCTCGCGAATTACTTATTAATTAGTGCAACAATCAACAAACCGTGGAATTTACTGGTGCGAGAAACATTGGTAGGTACGAAAGAATTTTTCCACTGTCAGTTCCTATCATGTTTCTAACCTTATTTCTCTCCAATCTTCTACACGCTACTCTTATTTTGAATTGCATATCTACGATTAATTTGTTGGATATAAGATTTAAAATGTTGATAAGCTACATCAGAATGCGAACGAAAGTGTGAGATATCTAAAAAAAATTTATATTCGTGTAATTTGTAAACTTATATTTTTTTCTTTGTGTTTATGTTGTGCTTATTGTCGTTATAATATTGTCAATAAATTTCTGCCTTTCTGTATTCAAGGTTTGTCGTTTGGAAGCTAAGCTAATGAGTCATTGAAGATGGCTGATGCACCGTCAATCACAGTAAACACGGAATCAGAGAAACAGGACGATTCTATGAAGAATTATGAATTCGACGGGCAAACATACATCTATACTGACAAGGCGACGAATATTACTTATAAGTTTGATCAAGAGAATAATAAATGGCTTGTGAAAGATGATAAAGTGAGCTCTGACAGTAAGAAAAGTTCTCAAATGGGAAAGAAGGAAGAATCTGGTCCTGAAGCTGGTTCAGCTGAAGCTTTTGGTTTTGAAAACGACACGCACACTTATACAGATCCAAATGATGGCAGTGTGTACTTCTGGGATAAAGAAAAAAATGCCTGGTTTCCGAAAGTTGATGAGGATTTCATGGCCAAGTATCAGATGAGCTATGGCTTTACGGATACGAATACACCACAGCCAAAATCACCAGAGGAGCCAAAGGAGCCTCCGCCTACTCAAAAAATCAAGGAAGAAAAGGAACAAAGGAGAGTAGAAGCCAAACGGAAAGCTCAAGAACCGCCGACCTGGTTTGAAGTTGACGAAGCACATAACACTGCTATCTATGTATCTGGCCTACCTTTGGATATTACTATAGAAGAACTCACGCAACTTTTCACCAAGTGTGGCCTCATAGCAAGAGACGAAAGAGGAAAAGACAAGATCAAATTATATAAAGATGGCAATGGAGAACCAAAAGGAGATGCTCTTTGCACCTACATCAAGGTAAGAATGTATGTTTTGTGATTTAATTTATATATATGTTAATAGAATTTGTTCTCAATTTGTGTATATTATTGGTAATGTCGCATCGTAAAAATGGTTATATCAGTATTTTATTATACATCATTAAATACAGAGAATGTATTGAGAGTATATTGATATCTATATTGATATATTTACAGACAAAGCAATGAAAAAGTAACGAACACAAGAGTAGATAAAAAAATAAAGATATTTCATAAAGAGTTTTGTTTTGCTTTTTAACTAACTATCTGACTGTAATTCATTTATAAAAATTATGCATTATGATTAGCATAAATGAATATCGCGCTATAATATAATTTAATTAATTACTAAATGATAGTTATAATTACTTATCCAATTCACGTTTACCTCGCGAAATAGTAACAAGCGTTGACAACGTAAAGTTTTTAATCGGTACATGAATTATTCAGGCGTTACAATTCATTAATCGTGCAAGATATTGCTTAGTAAAATAATCACTGAACTGATATAAGAAGAAGCTACAGAGAGACGATGATTTTCAGTAATGATATTACAATATAGATAAGTACACCGAGAATATTTAGATGTCAGTAATAGTATCGAATGCGATGGTTACAATATTCTGATCATTAATTAGTACATCAATAGATCTTCTATTTAGAAACTTCAATATTCGAACAGAGGAATTTCTGAAGGAAGTTTTGTATTTCGAGATTAGTTTTAATTATACTAACTTTTTACGATTTGCAAAATTAATTTTTACAATAACAGCCACAAATAATATAAATTATAATAAAATAACGTTGGCAGTTCAACAGCGTCGTTGTAGTGAAAGTTTATCTTTCAAATGGCTTTTCTCTTAGATGCGTATATTATGTAACAGAGCAGTAGCAAAGCTGCAATTATAACTATAATTATGATATAATGATTCAATTTTTCTTTCACGGCTTCAACAAAATCTCCTCTCGCGCGAAGTCGTTTATTTTATTATGAAACTGCGAAAGGACGTTGTCCGTATCTGCTAAATTCTGGGATTGATGGTATCCGTTGGCTAAAAATGCGCCATATTCTCGTCCTTGTGGTAATACTTGGGCAACCCTTGGCACAGTTGATTGCACACGGGTTCTATTTGAATGATGTCGCGTGCGTTCTCTAGGCATCATCTTCACGCTGTCAAAAATTATTGTAAGAAAATTATCAATTATTAGAAAATTTAAATGCTAAGTATATATATATATTCTTAAAACTTTTTATGTTTTCTTAAAAATTTTTAAAGCAATATTTTATATTAAACATAGTTTAATATGAAGATGTTAGTACTTAGAAGGTGGTCGCGATCCTAGTTTGACACCATGGGCCCATTGTTGATTCTCTCCTTGATCCAACCAATTTCTTCTCGAATTTGCCCGATTCTTCTTTCTTTCACCTGGTTTCCTCTGTTCGTCTAAGTACTTTTTGCCCTTTTTTCTAGGCTTTAATCTTTGGTTTTGCGGCGCGAAGGGGTCTTGCGACTTCTTGCGTCTTCTGGCTGAAAAAATAAAAATGTCGTGGATAAATTCTGTTACATTTATATCAGTAAAATTATGAAAGCTTTTTCTGCTGAATATTTCGAATACATTTCTCACCTAAACGGCCGGCGGGTACTTCGCATATATAATACTTTCGTTCCATACAACTCCTTGCACTCCACTTATATTTCAAGACAGGATCCATTATGATACAATGCCATGCATACTTCTTGGATCTGCCAGGTTCCATTTTCCCGAAACTCTGGAAAACCATCTTTTCACCTGTTACACCCCATTCCCAAGCCATTTGTTGCCAATTGAAAATTCCTCCGATCCATCGTTCCAATTTCGCTGTTGATTTGTAGATTTAGACAAAAATTGAATGATGTAATAATTAGACGAAAAAAGAATAGCTTGTACTCACTAAATTGATCCCCCATTAGGTATTTCCTCAGCATTTTGTCCTTTCCATTTCTGTCCAATATTGCCAAAGTGGCATTTCTGTCCTTGCAGTGAAAGTACGCCTCTCTCCATGGTGCCGTACCGGCACTGAGATAATAACAGAATCGTTTCAGTCGAAAGAATCCCACGGGACATGCGAATCTTCTCACGGATTCATGCTGTCGTAACGTTATGGATTGATTAGTCAAAGGACTAATATCAAAGTTTGGCGCCTCCAAAACGGCCGAGGATAAACCTAAAAGAAAGAAGAAATTAGATATGATTAATCATCATATTTTGTCAAATTGTGAAAATCTCATGTTTTCAGATATTCGAAAATATATCTTAGGAATCTTAGAGGAATAAAAAAAACCTTAGGTACATAATTTAAACATTTGTGAAGCTGGTTCCACTTTTTCCAAATTTGGAAAAAATAAGCAGAGTTCTGGTTGCCTCTAAAGAGTTCAAGAGTTTTCAATTAGTTTTAGAAAGAGTTCCATCGATTAAAGCGGTGAAAACACCGCTGAAATAATTTAATGTAAGATAATTCCGATATATTTTATATGGTTTCAATCGATTCTAACTGAAGGCAAAAAAGTGATCAATTTTCACGATAAAAATGACAAATTGGCGCACATTATATAGAAATCCTTTGGGACAAACTTCAGAACACGGTAGATTTTACCGAAAAAATCAACTTAATTCTTTTTAACTTTTGTTAAGAAACCCGTTTTCTCCGACGTATTTTTAAGATGGTACGTATTCTTGTTTGGATCGGCTGTATAAAGGTATGCAATCGATTGTGCGGCAGCATTGTGCGTGACAATACTAGTCGACGTTTTTGGTTTTTTTTTCTTTTTACAAAAGCAAAATCAAAGGACGTAAACTAGTGTTGTCAGACATCATGCGTGTGCGACTGGACGCCTAGTTTCTTAAAAATCCATTAGACGATACAGGTTCCTTAACAAAAATCTTCTGTGGGATCTATCGTCCTTTGAAGTTTGACTCAGAGACCCTGAAACATCCAGTATTTACGATTCTTATTTTTGTAGTGGTCAGAATTCTTTTTAAAATATATCAGACACTTTAGAACTCTTTGAAGAAGAGAGCCAGAACTTTGTAAATATTATATTGAAATACTAAAAATAGCATAAGATTAACTTCACAAAAGTGTATTCGACTTCATTCGTATATTTGACAGTAACTTTCAACAGTTCTATTTTGGCACGAATTTTATGTTTTCATAAATCTCACTATTTTCAAATGCATATTTTTATCTTTTTTACTTGCATAATATATGCGCATAATTAATATGTTCCAAGTGAATACATTTTTGTTCCGCGGCCTTGAACGGAATTTAAACATTATGTAATGCCGTCTGCGGTTCAAGCGTGACTAGGCGCCACACTATTGCATAGCCGAGACATATGAGTATTATCGATCATTAAATTGTTGAGCATTGTTTCGTAAAATAGGTTATTTAATGCTCCGCCTCGTATGACATTAGATTCGCAGCGTTCTCAGGTTTATCATTAAAATGTAAATGTCCTATTTCGAGGACACACCCGCGACTTCATCGTGCGACTTCTGTAATCTGAGGTAAACTTATAAATCATGGATTTTATCTTTGTATTCATATGTATTCGTCTCAGGTGTATATTTACGCGATATTGTAGACTTTACTTATCTGGCAAAAAGAAAGGTAAAGAAGCATATTATATCGATGGTTTTTATTAAGGAAAAAAACGAACTTTATTCATTTATAATTTTAATGATTTACCTATCAAACATTCGATTGATTCGATCGATTGAAATGTTTAGGGCGTGACAGATCCTTTGGATGAAACAGACCGGCATAAATAGAGCAGCTTTCTACGATAACGATATGTGATACTGATGTGCGCATACAATAGGTACCGTTATCTATAATTGAAATGTCAGATTGAAACGCATTAACAAAGATCTTAAAATACAAATGATTCAAGAGATTTTAAGGCTCTTGTAATTTCCGTATCTGAGAAGGTTTAACAATTTTGAAAAGGATGTACAATTCGCGACTTAATTCTACGAAAGATTGTAGCGGAAAGATTTGTCCAACAGGTGTGTGCCAACGTTTATTACAAATTAATGTAGCTGTTACGAAAATCTACGTGTAAACAGTGTATCAGTGATACTTTAGAAATGGTTATTTGACGTATGTATCCAATTAATTACTCAAAGATCCATCTCTGAGTCATCGTCGCGTAGACGAACCTTGTGGTGCGCATGTCACCATAAATTCCATTTATGATACACAACCAGTATCGTATGACTATTAATAAATACCAGAGATTTAACCTTTCCGCCCGCAGGCTTCCAATATGGAAAACACATTCTTGTTCGCACGACAATTACATGTGGAAGAATCGAACGCTTCTATCAAGCTCGTATCTAATCCACGACAATTTCTAGCGTGGATAAATCGATGAGATAGACAAATTGAAGTAAGTGGAAAAAGAATATTAAGCTTCTAATATAGCCTTCTACTAAATCGTAAATTTACTTAAATCGGAATAACGTAACCGCTTAATATCACGATATCAGTTTCGACCTCGATAATAAATGACGCGAGGTTATTGAATTGGAAAGCAACTTTAGCTGCGCGTTCTTTTTTCTTTTTTTATTACCTTCGTAATGAATAAAAAGAAGAAATAGGCTGAAAAACGTGAGATTACGAAACACTCATAAATATAAATAAAAATAACGTACTAAAATGCTTACTTTTTCAAGTCAAGATTGAACGTATGATGATATACGACATTTTTTGTTCCGTTAAATTGTTATATTTTATGCATCTTTTTTGACAGAATCATCATTCTAGAAGCGCAAATAGTACGTTGTTTTATTCTAAATGTAGGTTAAATTTATGTTATGTAGTATTTTTTGGATATTTAATTGCTGATGGTAGAATTTTGGTATTAAATTGTATTATGTGTATGCACAAATGTGATATATAGACCGCAGATGTAAATGGATCGGTATCAGATAATTAATCGGTGAGTTAATGCCCGGAGTGCATGTTAAAGCATAACGATTGCACTGAAAGCCTGTTTCGAAGCAGTTAAATGCACGTTTACACACATCAAAATTCTACGAGAACTGGTTTCTACGAATAATAAAAATCAATAGTACTGTCAACAGTTCCACGCCTCTTAATTACAGTGTGATCAATTTTAGTTAGTCATCGATTGAATGTAGTACTGCGCATATACTAATTTAAGCTTTGTAATTATATTATACGCAGGAAAGCTTCAATCATGGTTAAAATAATTATAATTATTTGGTTAATATAATAATAATTATAAAAATTTTTTTATCTAAGAACATTGTAATTTATTATAAATTTCATGAAATATTCTTTACCAGAATTTACTACGCGTTTAGTTGCACGTGAATTTGCAAACTATGCTAAAGTTTGTTGCAACTTTGGATGCCGCAATGTATGACTTGTTTTAAAATGCGAGACATAACAAACGAGATGGACAGCGCGTATGTTGCATTTCAACAGGAAATTCAGGTTCCGAGAGGTTGTATTTAAATCTCTAATATGAAAATTCATCTTAGTTTCCTAGTTTTTGCAAAACATAATTTGATACGAGTATGAAATTAGATTTTTTACGTTCTAATTTTTTTATTTAAAAATTAAATTAAAAAGTTTTCACCAGAATTTTTTTCTTAGGAACGTTATATCTATGAGTGTCGAAAATAATGCATTTTTTTCTTGATTTGCACACCTTATTGTAACATATACTTCTTATCACAGGTGTGCAAACTGCTGCCTGATATTAAAATAACTTTTGCGTTAGCGGCAGAAAATGCTGTGGAAATAGCGACAGCTTATTCAAATAAATATTCAACCATATAGGAAGTCACGCAAAGGATTTTTTTTATCCATGGACGCAATTATAGATACATAATCGGTTTTTAGAATTAATACGAATTATTGAATTCCTAAATGATTAATATTCTTATATTGAAGAAAAAATAGAATATACAAAAAGATACCAAATAGATACATAACGTCATTTTTGTTAGCGAATTTACACGAACATGTAAATACTGTCACGTGGTTACGAATTGCAAATATTACGGGTCGTAGTCGATAAACTCGCTTAAATATCTAACATGAAACGCTGAAGCTAGTTAGAATTCCTTAAAGTTAAAATTGTAGTTGAAGTTGATAATTCTCGTTTTATATAGCATCCATTATCGATAGCGTTTTATTATGATTGTATTGTAACCTTCAAAGAAAGGTCTCGCGAGTTATCCGATATTTTCAAGCTCGTCTAACTATCGACTGATATCGATAGTCGTTACAGGAAATTATACTTATGGTGTATGTCTGCCTACAATTTGCACTTTCATTCATACAACGTTTATGGTACAAGGCTAAACCTCGGTCGCTTGGGTGGACATTCTTCTCATATTTCCAGAATTTATCGTCACTTTCACGAATGAACTGCTATTATCGATAATTGGTCAATTAACTTTTGATTTTTATTCGTCACGTTGTCAAAGAGAATTAATTGATTCAGGTGAATTAAAATTTTATTCATCGTAAATCATAAGGATTATGATCATTCGACTATAACTAATCGTTGAATAATTACATAATTTTTGTTATATAAAATAAGCTTTATCAAATTATATGATATCAATGTGACATATATATCTTTATAATAATTATACCATTGACTAATTTTGAGTTTTCCAAATTGTACGATCGTAAACATTTTATGATTGTTGTGTCCAAAGCTATTCTCGCCACAGATTTGATTTAATGATACCATTCTACTGGTATCGTTTCCGCCTAGATTCAATCTCGTGAAAATAAATCGTTACATCTGTTCAGAAACTACATGTCTGTTGGACTAGGATATGTGTTCCGATCGTTAATATATCCGCGGTTTCCATCAGAAAATACACGATAAAATATGCGCGTCCCAAAACTGTCTGCGCAACATTTCACCTGTAAGTAACGTTTAATCTTACGTGGAGAAATTTCACATACGTTTCATATAAAATATGCATTTCTTTTAAGGTTCGCTTCAAGCTTTTATCGAACTTTAGCGGAGCATTGAAGTCGACTTTCTCAAGAAAAATGTGAATAAAACAACGTCAGATTAAACAGGATTAATAATTAAAGCACTTTTCGCAGAATAGGAAATCTTTTTGTAAGAACATAATGTTACCTTATAATTCTATATAACAAATTTTCGCGAAGTTTTTATTTGTTTTATGTCTGCTATTTATAATTTTTTTGGTTAACGTTAAAAATTAGTCGTGTTATTGGCAATATTATCACACAATCTTCAAACTCGTGCACAAAACAATTACACGTTGTATTGTCGTAACTACCGATCTATATTGAAAGTGTCATTAGGTTGCCAATTAGCAAAGCTCGTAACTGCTAATAGATACAAACAGCTCAATAGTGTCTCTGTGTCGAAAGATATTTGTTGACGATTACGTTTGAATTATTCTAAACGTAATCAATTATATTCAGTATTTTCAAATTTGCAAATTAATATTCCGTTTTCTATTAATTTATATTAAGTAATAAATAAATAATGATTAAATTTGCCGAAATTTTTTAACGAAATTATAATAGATGTTATAATTCAGATACGATTATTTTTAATTGATAAGCTCACATTTATGTTTAATTGATAAGCTCACATTTCGGCAACAAACAAAATTATATAAAGTAATGGATTACCGCGAGGTTAAACACAAGATTAATTATATAATAATATCGAATTGTGCTATTATGATAGGAATCATAATTGATGAGGGAGTCCGCATCCTGACCCTCTCCTTAAACGACTATTTATTACTGTAATTTCGTTGTTTCAATACACAATACGATTTCCAAATATGGTATCATAAATTACTACTCTGCGGTCATTTTTTTTTAATACAATACTTTATCCCGCAAATTTTTAATTACTATAATTCACGTTTCAAAAATGTATCTTTTCCCAATCATCTTTTTTCATTACCTATTACTTCTCGGATTAATCGCGTGCTGGATTCTCTCTATGTTTACCCACTCACCCGTACTCCGGATCGTCCCTCTCATTGGGATCGTCCGCGATCTGTTTAATCCACTTTGCGCACTTTAAATTTAATTACCTGCGACACACAGAAACAGGGCCCAACACTTCCACATGTCTACTTCACACGTCTTTTATTCGCCGAGGTACACAATATAGAAGTCGCAATACGCATGCAGGATCGTCCTCATTCTCGTTTCTTGAACCTCGCCTGGCATTCGATTTCACACATTGGTAATCGCAGTTTCGTAAAGTCGCACGGAGAAGAAAGAAGGATTGACTTTCGCACCCTTCGTCCTTTTTTCTCGAGATCGTAGGTATCTCTATCGCGACCGATAGAGTATACCCAGATTATTCGTCGATCTAGACGATGGGGACCGTTCTTCGGCGGAGGTTCGTCGCCGACTGAAGCCGCCGCTTCCATTCCGCTCGGCGCGTACCTTCGCGCGCTCCGAGCTTACGAGCGGAATTCTCTCGCGCCTCCCCTATCGCCAGACGCTACCGCGATCCTTTTCCCGATCCCAAGAAACTACGGATCTGTCGTACACTGAATTTATCTGGCTTACCCCGATTTCGTCTAAAGCGAATGCGTTTCGCGTAGTTATTCATAGCTGCGAATTATTCACGCTTTTGCATATTGTGTTTATTTTATAAATTACCTGCGAAACGTTTTTGTGAAAAAATTTCTTGTAAAATATATTTCCTAGCAATTAAAATATATTGTCTAGTATATATAATATATTATAATAATTATTTTTATCGCGTTTATTTGTATGTTAGAAATTTTCTATTGTTTTATGCAAAATGCCATAGAGCATTCTTAAATCTGCATTCTTTTAATATCTGGCGTTTGCCTTGATTAAGACGATTTCGAAATAGCGAAATTTATTGTTGTACATAAGGAACGCGTACGATTTAATGACTTCTGTTCACGCTTTGCATAATAATCACCAAACCGTCTTAAAACTCAAGGATATACGAACTTAGTAAGCATAGAGCGTGCGATAATTACGCGTCAAGGAATTGAACGATATAGGAATTGTTGAACAAACTCAATGGAACTGCGACGATTACTCGCGAAATGTTTGAGAAACTGCGCGTCAACAAAGCTGAAGTGCTTCAACACATTGCACTCAATATTACTATCGTAAAACGGAGCGTAGAATAAGTATTAGTAACTTTGCAACAGAGTAAGAGAAGATTTCAGACTACTCAATGCCGAGAGCACTTTATCAGCAATGAGTATTCTGTGAATAATTAGAACTAACGAATTATTACTATTGCATCAAATGACGCAGAGTTAATTATGCAAAAAAGAACATAAAGCACGAAATAATATATGCAAAGGCCGTCATTTGTTATTTATAGCACTCATAATTTGAAATAGTATAGAAAATTAAGGATGTTTTAACATATTTTCAAATAAATGATAATAAAATTATGAAAAAATTATTTTAAATCATGTTAAAAAATAATACGATAAATTTGATGACGGTTTATTATCTGGATCATAAGTTATTTTAATAAATAATAGTATTTTTTTAAATCTGTGCTCTAATAAAAATATATGGAAATGTATATTATAAAATAATTGATAAAAATTTTAATGTTTAATATAAGTATATTATGTGTTCAAGATTATTTTTACGTAGAGTTATATTGCGATGCATGAACTAGTTGCCGAGTAAATAAATAAAATATTTATTTGTTTTATATTTTTGTAACTAATCAATAAATCGCAATGAAACTTTGCATAAATTATTTTGAATATTTAAAGAACTCATAAAAAAAATTTAGATTTTTGTTATCATTTTCAAAATTTTAATTTTTAACAATAAAAATAATAACAAATAAAATAAATAAACTACAAAAATATGTTATTAAACAAAAATATAATCTTATTCACACAACTTTCATATGTATATAGTTTATTTAAAGTGTAAATATAATTAATATTACACATACTTCCAAATTTAATTTTCTTTGTAGGGACTGTACGTCTACATCCTTACTCAAGCTATATGGAAAAATGATTCAGTAATAAGTTTCGACATTTTTTACCGATTCTTATAATTCCGTTTAACCATTAAATTATGTTTAGATGAGGAATCAATTATTACTTACAATAGTTATATGTAACTTGTAATTTTAAGCAATTAGAGAACATGATTCACTGATAAATTCAATTTTTATGTATAATGATTAACAATGTGAGAATACTATGAAAGCGTGAAGACCTCAAATTGGGCGTACATATACTTCTAAAATATCATCGAGACGAAATCTACCAGACGAGCATTTCCATTTAGTGGCAGCCTGCCAATTGGGTGCATTAACGTCTATCGTTCGATAGTATCTTTTGGAGAGTTAACGTCTAAATGGCGCTGATTATAATGTAGTAATAGGAATAGCAGGAAATGTCAGCAAATAAATCTAAGATATCGCGAGGTTAAAAGCGTAATTTGCTACCGTTGAATCAGATTTCGCGAATCTTAAGCTTAATTATTCCTACTGGCTTATCGCTTAGGAAGATTCAGCACAGTACGAAAAGCATGTTAAATACGGTACGGTACTCGAAAAATATATGATGCATTCTGAAAATCTGACTATCGCATTGAAAATGTCAGAAATACCGTGTCTGTTCTATTTTATCTCTGAAAAATGCACCGACTGCACATTTGTGATAACTATTATGCACTCCATACGACGCCCTTAGTCGCTATCGCGGTTGCATAATTTAGATAAATCCACGTTTCTCTCCATCTTCGTACGAGAGATAGCTATTTTTGCATACGCCTTGTATCACGCAGTAAAGATAAATAATGATAGCTTACCTATAATAGATGATAATGATGAATTATTAATATAATAATATATGTATTAAAATTTTTGAATATTGTATGTTCAATCACGTTTAAATAATGTATTTAAATATTACGCGTTTAATGTTGGAATTAAAAACTGTTTTGTATGCCTGTGGCATCAAAGCACGATTTTTATTTTATTTTTTATCACACATAAATACAGGCCGTGTTTTCGCGGATGATGATGGGAATGATGTTACGTACAACTACTATGACAGCGATTCATTTGTGCATTCCTGATGCTTTGAAAGGTACAGCGGGAATGCTGCAATTCGCGGAATTGCAATTTGGGGTGGGTTGACGACTGCGTGCCTCAAATCACAATGGTACGATTGACAGATTCAAGTAATTCTAGATATTACGTCAGGCATTATGGAAATGTAGATACAGTGGTCATGTTTATGGCTTGAGAATCACCGTCACCATACAGTTTACGTCAGTGTAATGTTATGTCAAATCAGTCATTTAAAAAAGTTATAATGTTACGTCATGAGCTAGCCATTTAAGTCAGCTCATTTTTCTTCACACTTGACTAATCTTAATGTAAATTTCCTGAACTTCCACACTCACATGAATTTCATATACATAAGTTTACGAATTAATTGTTTTTTAAGCATAAGTTTTTTGTGATATCTAAAATTAATATTTAAGATAGAATAAATATTTACCATGTTTTTTTCTATAAATTAGATTATATTTTCAATATTTCATATATTCACACATATATACAGTATGCAAAAACTCAAAAACATAAATGAAGAAATAGCCGTAATTTTATTTTAGATCAAGTTTTTATATTGGGTAAGGTCACATGTCGATGTATGTTACGTGTTTTCTAAATCCCTCTCAAGAGTAGAAGAGTAAGTTATAATATAAATTGAAATGTATTACTTGATAATGCATTCGATAATATCTAAGAAAAATTGGAATGCATTGCTCTCCCAAAATTTAATCGTGTAGTGTGCAAACCACATTACCACTGCAATCGAACCATCATGAGCTCGATCTGACTGGAGCTGTTCCGACTAGATTTACAAGAGGGTGCGTTTTTCTTTCATGTGCATTTACCGCAAAAGGAAGCGATCAATGCTTTCGAAGCAGCGGGAAGATCATACATCATTAAAACTGCATCCTATAAGCAATGGACGGTTTTGCTGAAGTATCTAAAAATTTAACTAGCTATAGATTTAGAAATAATTTTGTTGGACTATCAAAATAATTATGTAGGAAACGAACTAATTGCTAGAATGTTAAAACTTTTTGCAACATTGTTCGTCATGCTTGAGATTCCTACTTAATTATTTTGATCCAACAAAATTATTTTCCTAGATCTGTATCTACATTGACAATAAGAAAAAAATTTACTCAATCCCAATATGTATAATATTTTTTTCAGTACTAACATTTTTCAATACTAACTAAATATTTATTCACAGTAAATAAATATTTACTCAATAAAAAATAATAGTAAAATCAAATGGTCTCATGCCAAATAGAAATGTATGTTTACATTTAGTAAATATTTAGTTAGTATTGTTCTTTCTATGTAGGATATCCAACGTACGTAGAGAATTTGTAAAGAAATGTTAATTTTTATTGATCGCTAAAAGAGATAAGTAACATTTCATTCAGCATCTTCAATCGCTTAGGCCCAGTTCCACAATTCACGGTTAACTCTTAACCGAGGTTCAACTTGTTTCTCATCTTTTTCCAATTCTAAAATTAGTAAGAGACAATGAATAAGTTGAACCTCGGTTAAGAGTTAACCATGAGTTGTGGAACTGGGCCTTAGTCGTCAATGGCTACGTTTACACTGTGCATTTAGGCCGCGGCCTATATGTAATAGATGTCCTTGTTTATCCTGTAGATTAAACAAAGACACCTATCGTATAGGTCGCGGACGTATACATAGTCCATAGCCAGAGGAAAGGTCGAGGTAGTAGTCTCGCCGTCGACGATGCTCATATTCATTCATGAGACGTTTTTTTATTACGGAGAAATTTCACCTGTGTAAATTAGCAATTTGCAAAGCCGTAATTTCTGCGACGTTTGTCGTTAGTCAAATACCGAAGCGTTAACAGTTCTTAATTGTGTCGCCGCGCCTGTGTGCTCGCCCGCGGCACAAATACGACGGGAAACAAAACGACAATTTTTATGAGCGCATCCGTACGCGCGTTCGTGCGCACTTCAGATCTTATGGAATTCCGGAAACCGGTTTTGCAAAATGTGCCGCGCGTATATGCGCTCGCAACGCGTAGTGTCGTCTCGTATGAAAAGAGACACTACACTATGCCTAATATGGGAAAGGTTTTGTCGCGGAAATTTTGTAATTTCGATGAG